GTAGTTTAGCACCCAAATGCCCTAAACCCTACAAATTCCTTCCTTAGCACCTAAATACCCTAAACCCTATAAGCTCCTTCGTTGCTTGTTGGGTTCGTACGCATGAGGCTCGTTTGGGCATTCAGAGGGGTCGCCTGGGACATGGCTTTGCATTGTCGGCTTGAACAAGATTTGGATCGAACAAGCCTAGTTTGATCTAATTAGGTTCCTACACAAGCGCGCGAAACAAAGCTTCAAAATATCTTGGTGCCGGGCAAATACAATTGTGCATATATACCTACCCACAGCCCTAGATCCTCCCAAACCCTGAACCCAAAGCCCTTACCCCAAACAATGCATCATTCTACAAACGCCTACAAACCCTAAACCTTACACCCCAAACCCTAAACCCTAACCCTAAACCCTAAACCCTAAACCCTAAACCCTAAACCCTAAACCCCATTCAGCCCGCCAGAACGCCGCAGCTGCAGGTGGCAGCGTGCCTCCCACCCCCTCGGCGTCCTCGCGGCGAGTAGGTTTCGGGCTTGTAGGGTTTTAGCTTTAGATTGCCTCTGGAGGTGTTTAGGGTTTAGGGTTTGGGGTGTGGGGTGTGGGGTTTGGAGTTTGGGGTTGTAGGTATATGTAGAATTAAGGGTTTAGGGTTTAGGGTTGGGTTTACGATTAGAGCTGCATACTTGCCCGAGCTTGCGTAGGAGCCTAGATCAAACTAGGCTTGTTCGATCCATGTCTTGTTCAGGCCGAGTTGCAAAGCCAGGAAAGGACTCCCAGACGACCCGTCCGAATGACCAAACAGTAAGTTCCCGAACGAGCATCATGTGTCGATCCGCACGACGCCAAAGGATATTATGGCGGTATCTAGGTGCAAAAAAGGGAGTTTGCAGAGGTTTTAGGATCTGGGGCTACACTATCTGACAGAGTCTTCGCGCGTCTTCTCACACAAGAAAGTCACCACACACCTAAACCCCCTATATAAACCCTAAACCCTAAACCCTGTTCAGCCCCCCCAGAAGACTAGCAGCTGCAGGGGGCAGCGTGCCCCCCACCCCCTCGGCGTCCTCGCGGCGTGTGCCGCTGGAGCGAAAGGTCGCCCCGAAGTTTCAGCTCCCTGGGCTTGTTGTTTAGGGTTTGGGGGTTCGGGGTTTAGGGTTTAGGGGTTAGGGTTTAGGGTTCAGGGTTCAAGGTTTTGGGTTTCGGGTTTAGGGTTTAGGGGTTTATTTGGGTTAGGTTTTAGGACTAGTTGGTTTAGGGTTTAGGGTTTGGGGTACTACGGGTTAGGGTTGGGGCTTCTGGGGTCATGTCGCGGGAGGTTTGGGGCTGTGGGGGTTTCTAGGGTTTAGGGGTTCAGGGGAGCCCTTAGGGGGACATTTGGGGGTTTCATAAGGCTCAGGGTTCAGGGTTTAGGGGTTTCATAAGGCTCAGGGTTCGGGTTTCAGGTTTTGGGTTTTGGGTTTTGGTTTTAGGGTTTGGGGAGGGTTAATGGGGGCTTGAAAGAAAGCCTTCACCTAAACCCCAAAGTATGTACACTAAGGGTAGTTTTCAGGGAGCCGGGCCATCATTGTCCATACTTTGGGGTCTTTAGGGGTCCTAGGGCTTAGGGGTTTAGGGTTTCAAGGGATGCAAGACTCGGCCCCCTAAGGTCGTACCGCTAAAGTAAAGGTTCCCCTTAATATACTCCTCATATGGCCTTGTACTACCTCAGGGACGTTTACAAAGGATCCCCAGAGCCCAAAAGTGTAACCTTAAGGGTCCAAGGTACAGCCCCCTAAATGAATTCAGTGTCATCGTAAACTCCCGAATCCCGACGCCCAAAGTTCCCTTCAACTCCTGGGGTTTAGGGTTTAGGGTTTAGGGTTTAGGGTTTAGGGTTTAGGGTTTAGGGTTCAGGGTTTAGGGTTTAGGGTGTGGTGTTTAAGGTTTAGGGTCATCTAGAACCGAAAACTCGCAAAACCCACATCTACTTAACAGCCAGACTCTCAAACCCTGCCCCTGCAGATGGATGGACACCTTTCGTGGCTCCAGAAAAACTTATAGGGTTTGTATTCATCCCTCAATTCACAGGGTGTTGAGGCGATTCTTGTGTGCACCCAGCAAAACCCTAGACCTTAGACCCTAAACCCCAAACCCCAAACCCCAAACCCTAAACCCTATAGGCCTAGACCCTGGGACCTCAAAACCCTCTAGACCCTAGACACGAAACCCCCATCACAAAGGCTAAACTTTGTCCCCCGCCGCGTGGAGCTTCCCAACTTCTCCGACGCAGGGCGGAGAGTGCCTAGGTCTTAAGGTTGAGTGTTTAGGGATTTAAGGGTCCGAGGTAAGGTTTAGGGTTGAGGGTTTAGGGTCTAGGGTTTGGGGTTCGGGTTTAAGGGTTTAGGGGTTTAAGGGTTTAAGGGTTTAAGGGTTTAAGGGTTTAGGGGTTTAAGGGTTCAAGGGTTTAAGGGTTCAAGGGTTGAAGGGTTCAAGGGTTCAAGGGTTCAAGGGTTCATGGGTTTAAGGGTGTAAGGGTTTAAGGGTCTTTGGTCTTTGGGCGTAGTATTTCGGGATTAAGGGCTTTTGGGGTTGAGGCTTACGCTTCAGGGCTTCCTTTGGGGCTTAGGGCTTCGACTTTTAGGGGGTGAAGGTTCAGGGTATACTTTTTGCTGAAGGGTGGTTGCACCTCAGGTGTTCCATAGCCCAACAATTAGGATCACAAGAAAACACACACACATATATATATATATAGATATATACATATACATATATATATGGTCATATATATATAGAGAGAGAGTGACAATAGTTGTCTCCAAGGAATGTTGGGCCGGGGCGGGGGTGTGTGTGCTGAGAAGCAAAGGTTTTGGCTTTTGTGTAGGGCTTAGTCGCTGAGTGAGTACACTCTACACTTTATGGGATACCTGTAATCTCTACAGAACTAGAAGTGTACACTTTTTTGGGGGCTTCTGAACTCAGCAACTAGGAGGGTCCTTGGACAGTTGTGAACCTTCGGTTGCGGGTTTTGGTCTTAGGGTCTTAGGGTAATGTTGCAATGTTCGTGCCCATTGTCGCTTCCTCAATATCAAGCTGTGCATCAGCGGTCCGAGCCCTACACGTTAATGGCAAGCCCTAAACTCCAAAACCTAAGTTTCAACACCAAAAGAGCCCCTCCCTAGTAAGCCCCAAAACCCAAACCCCCAATACCCACAGCCCAAAGCCTAAAAACCAAAAGAGACCTGACTCTCCACCCTAAATCCTAAACCCTTGAACCCAAGCAACAAACCTCAAAGCAAGGATTTAGGGTTTGGGCTTTAGGGTTTAGGGGTAGGGTTTAAGGTTTAGGGTTTAGGGTTTAGGGTGTAGGGTCCAGGGTTTAGGGGGGTTTAGGGTTTAGGGTTTAGGAATCAGGGTTCAGGGTTCAGGGTTCAGGGTTTAGGGTTCAGGGTTTAGGGTTTACGATTCAGGGTTTAGGGTTTAGCCCTTTGGTTCCTGAAGCTCTTAGGTGCGCCTGGTGGGTCAGGCCCATGTGGAAGGCACGCGCGGGGGTTGGGCGCAGGAGGGGTGGTGAAGGTGTGAGGGTTTAGGGTTTAGGGTTTAGGGTTTGGGGTTTGGGGTTTGGGGTTTAGGGTGCACGTTTAGGTTTAGCATTTGGGGTTTGGGGTTCAGTTTGGGGTTTAAGGTTCGGGGTTCAGGGTTTGGGGGTCAGGGTTTAGGGTTTAGTGTCGTTTTTCCAGTGCTCCATAAATTGGGGTTTAGGGTTTCAGCGGAGGAGGTTCCTACAAGCGATGAGGTCGCGGCTTCAGGCCTTCGATTCACGTGATCCCTTGCGCTTTCGGATTTCACTGCTGACTGTGGAGCCCCCAAACCCTAAACCCTGAACCCTAAAACCCAAATCCCTACACCCTACACCCTATACGCCCTCAACCCTAAGCTCAATAATTACCCTAAACCCCAAACCCTAAACCCTAAACCCTAAACCCTACACCCTAAACCCCACCCTCGTCCCCCATTCCAGGCGGCTGCGCCACGCTCGGATCGCAGGGGGCGGGCGGGACACCCGCGCTGCCCTCCGCGATGCTGCTGAGCTGATATGTGGAAATCACATGACGCAGGGTTTATATTTCTGTTGTACCGTGCTTCACATGACGTTGAGGGTTGAGGCCTCTATAGGGAAGGCTCTTACCAGGATTCTGGGCTCAGGGTTTCGGGTAAGTATAGAGTCTAGAGTTTTTTGTTAGGGCCGAAGGCCTAGGACTTCTCTTGTAAGGTGTCGACTTCAGAGTTTCAAGTGTTTAGGGTTTTATAGGGTTTTATAGGGTTTTATAGGGTTTTATAGGGCTTTATAGGGTTTTATAGGGTTTTTCTGGGGCTTTATAGGGTTTTATAGGGTTTGGGAGGGTTTTAGAGGGCTTGTCGCCCTGGCTCCTGTTCAGGATGTGGTTGGCGACCAAAGTTTGTCTGTCGACCAGCTTCCAGCATCCGAGCCGCAGACGCTCTCCCGGGGCTTCTCTAGGCCATAGGGCTTTGGGGTTTTATAGGGTTTAGGGTTTAGGGTGTAGGGTTTGGGGTTTAGGGCTAGGGTTTGGGGCTTAAGCCCTAAGGTT